TTTACCGCGCTGCGCAGCGCTGCACTGGGTAATAAAAAGAATATACAACCGTTAGTTGGCGTCCTACACAGGCATGACGTTTTTACGAACGGGACTTTGCTCTCTTGTTCTATTTATACTCTTTGGTCATAGCGAACATCGTGGGCTGGCATGACACGGTTGCTCTGTACACATTCAAAGGTTAAAGTTGAAATTGTGACCATTCAAGTGTTTTATTATGAGATCATAGTCCGGGGCAGGAAGATTATTAAAAATTTACGAAACCTGATTTATTTCTTTACTTTGTTTTCATTTTGTATTTTAAGTTTTTCTCTTTTAATTATAATTGATATATAATGTGTGTAAATGGACAAAAAATAAATAAATGAGTGCACATGAATCAGTGACATACACATTCGTCGTCTGTGGTAATCGTCAAACATGTGAAATTACGGCAAACAATGCGGCTGGGTACAGTCGGATCGGCGCTTTGTCGCCGGGATTTGTTCATTATTATTTTTTAATCTAAAACAAAGCATGTCAACTATTGAATTTAATTAGGCCTACAGTAAGTCTCACCTTCATCTGTTTTGTTGCATTCCTCAAATTCTGGCCTACTGTACAGTAGGCCTACCTGGGCCTGGCCTAGGCCTACCTGGGTGGGCCTAGCCAAAAAAAAGAAAATCGCGTCAGCTAGCCTTGGGTCTAGGCCTGCTCGACTTACTTAGGCCTTTTGGTTTTTAAGAGCTTTCACAAATACGGCGACCCACCCCCGGGAAAATGGGGGGGGGGGAACGCGGAATGATCGCTGACCGGCACTTCAAAAAGCTGGTGACATCCCTGTAGGTTACTTATTGATGAATTGGGATTACTGTACATATCAGTGATAGAATGAAGGAAAAAAATCAGGAAACAGGGATTGAAACTGTGAAAAATTAACAGGAGAGGAAGGGTAACTTAAAATTCATTTTTATTGTATAATATTCCTTCTAAATCACCGATATCTCACTGTTCAATTTGATGACCATAAGCACATTGACATACGACAATCTCTGAACATGCTAACTTTTGAACTTTGCAAAGAATGCAACACAATTCTTCCTTGAAGTAAAATGAAAGAAGTGTGTATGAATACATTACTAAAGGTTCAATTCACTTTCATCAAACACAGTGATGATTCTTCTTGTGTTTTCAATCTGTTTTTATGCGGGAATTGATATCAATCATGAAACAAAAAGCTGGCTTTTCTAATGACAGTACTGTAGCCTCTCAGTTTTATTTCTTATCCAACCTTTGGTGGGTAATAATAGTAGTGATAACAATCTATACATTCTTACGATTCACTCATGTATAGACTTTACTAAAACGAAGAGAGCTATGTACAGTGTTAAGTACTGTACTTTTTATTTCACAATATAACTAAGCTTTTTTTCGATTTTGAAACATCAACTATTTGTATTGTAACAATGTTAAAAGTGATCTTTCCGATGAGAGGTTTAAGCTATTGGTCCTGCGTGCAAAACGAGTGGGCAATTCACTACCAGAAGGATGCAACTGGAAAAGTCTTAGGACTTTCATGGGTTATCCTTGGTGTTTATCACACCAAAAAAAATCCAAATCCAATCGGTGACTTTGATCACAAGAAACATTTTTGTGTTTACTTAGAGAAATTTAGCTTGGAGCTCCTGGTTATATTTTGTATTTTAATCTCAAATCAAAAATGTGTTAAATGCAAATAAAATGTATTTTTGTTATCAAACTAATGTATGTTATCAATTGAAATTAAAAGAACAACTTTATAACACTAGAACAAAATTGAAAGTTTAGAAAATGCCCAAAATACAGAACATACATTTTTAGGGACATGTTTTATTAAGAGAGGAGGGTATACAAAATGGTAGATGTATATGATTTTCAGAATAAAGTAGTAATACTTACATCAATTGTACCAATACAACAAAATATCAGGGCATGTTGGGTAATCATGATTAGATGCCCCAGCATTTATTACAAATAGTACAATATTAAAGTGCTGCGGCTTTTCTGAGATCAGCAATTATTCATTTTATTCTAGTCTAAATCATGAACTCAAAAGAAATGTGTATTTAAAGCAGAACTGTGAACACCCAATATTGCATGAAGGTATTAAGCCATCAGATTACCAATAAAAGTAAGATACAGTATACCACAATTATTTCACTTTATTATTCATGAGGATAAATTTGGTTAAATCTAAGAGTGAGTAAACAAACAAATAATGATCCAAAAATCCCAGAATTAAACAAGTGGGTGTGAAAATTGTCTTGAATGGTTTTAGAGCTTTTAACATTCCTAAATAGGTTAAAAGAAATTTAAAATAAAACAGACAAGAATTTGAAAATGGATATAATAGAAAGACTGCCCTCTTTGGTTGAAGATTTCCTTGTTGTGTGTGGAAAATGTTTGTGAAATTTGATGAAATGACACAAGTTGGATGTTAAAACTTTAATATTGTTTTAAATGCTTGTCATAAACTATTTAAAGTATTATTTGAAAGAACTCGCTTTATTCTTCAATTACATGCCATTTTTAATAACTATATTAAAAGTGTGGGATAGAATCAGAACTTTTTACGTAAAAGTAAAAGGACGATGAGCAGTCTGACTTTATTTTACAAAGCCTGATTTTTTTACTTACAGACAAGATGTCAATTGCGGTCTGGGAGCAATTCTATTGCGGACCACAGCAACCCTACTGTATGTGTGCGGTCTACCCACAGTACCATCTCTGGCTAGAAAAACCCCTTGTGTTTAATGGCCTATCACCGGTCAGCTCAATGTAATGTACAGTAGTTGGGTGAAGCCAACAGCTTATTAATAATTAAAAATTCCCTTTTGCCTTTTGACCCATATTTAGTTAGGTCACCCTGCTTCACATGCAGGAAAAGATGATGAGGGGTGTGGTAGTCAATGATGCTAGCTGGGAAATGACGTTATTTTATAACTGCATTTTTTACTCAGCAAGTTTTCATCTGCTGAACATGCGTGAACGCTGAGAAGTTCTTGTCGTCTCGATTTTTTAATGCAGTTTATACGTTGGTCAACGTATTGTAGGACGGTTACGAATGAGTGAATCTGTTCTAGTGTTATGTTGTTGTGCAAATCGAAAGTTCCCTATTGTCCACTTCAGTGACCTCTGAACTTACAAGCATTATACCAATATCTGTATATATATGCATGCCATGATGCAGTATTGTTCATTTATTGCTTCCATGCCTACAGTAACCAACACTCGCATTCAGTATGTAATAGTAATGTAAGATAGTCAACAAGATGATTCATTACAAATCCACAATATGCTATAGGAATTGGGTTTCTCCCTGGTCACAGGAATAAACAATACACCCACTGTCACACAGGATGTATTCAGCCTTGGTCATCAATGAACAATATCAAACAAAAGTATCACTATAGCAGGTACGTACATAGTAAAGGTACCAAAACTACAGTATGCCGTTCTTTTTAATAATTTAATTTTTTAATAGTCTATTACTACAGGCTACCTAACCAATAGTTATAACAACAATATTATATTAAAAATGACAACATTATACACTTTACCAAGTAATGTCTTTGTAAATTTAACTGATAAAAAAAATTAAATTAATTATTCAATTGACATTTTACAGTAGTTCATCATTCTTCAAATATTAATTCTCTTTGAGAACAGTTTTCTAATGTGTTTACTACACTACATTATAATTTCAGGTTTCTATGTTGACTGTAAAATTTTTCCACTTGATTCTCGTCTATAATATTCATAATAATAATAATAATAATAGTAATAATAACATTAACAGACATTTATAATGCACCAATTCAAACGATTATCAAAGGTACCGTGGACTAGATGTTGCAATTTTCATTAAATTTCTCCTCCCCTGATGGACGCTTCATGTCCTCTGCAGTCGGTAAACCGGCGCACTTTCATCTGTACAGGACGGGCCGAGTGGACCAGCCTTAAAATCTCATTACACACTTAACTGATTGGAAGTGTGGGAAAAATATATTAGTTTTTAATAGTTAAGTGTCATGATTTAAAGTAGCCCTACAGTTCTTTGTTTTGTCTCTATTGCAAAGTGTGCAACATAAGCAAGGTTTACTATAGTAATACTACCATTTGCTCATTTCAGGCATCATTTCAATCAACTGTTAGCAGGCCGACCTGTATACTTGCAACAACTTAGTTTTCTCTCCAAAAGTTCCACATGACCATGACTTTGGAAGAATATCAAATTTAGATAATTGTGTGTGCAATTTATTATGACCTTACTACTTGCTTCTTGTGATATAGTTTGCTTATTTTTTTCAGCAGCATGGGCTAAGCTTTAACATGTCAAAACATTATCCACTGTACACCTTGCTACTATTTCTTTGCAAAATGGTATCAGTGTAAAAAAACGATTAAGACAATATTTTTAGGCATACACCACATCCTAGTTGCTACTATGATTCAGCAATATAATTAATGCTGCTTTTTTTATTATGACAAAATAATTTACTGATAGGTTTATGTGAATTCACCAAACACCTTGACCTTGTTGAAAATACTTGTAAGGTATAGCAGACAGGAAGAGTATAAAGGAAACATAAAGCAAGGTGTGTCCATAGATGAAGTTTGTTACTGGTACTTAGAAAGGATCAAGTTAGTTGCACTGCGCCATGATAAACAGGACTACTGTTTATAGCAAAATCATCTATACTACTGTACTGGAAAACTCAATCGTAAATTATTTTTTAATGTTAAAATCATGAGCTATTGTACTTTGTACTTTAAAAAAAATTATTTAAATAAAGATCAATAGAATTCCAGGAAGTCCAAACCTCTGTAGGTTCATAAAACACTCATTGTAGACAAGTTCCAATAAACTTTGAATCAAAAAAAAAAATTCATATCAAACTCATTTATTTATTTAACAAAAACTCATATAATATAGTTATCAATTTCAAATTATTATTAAAAATAAGTTAAGTAGATAAAATGAATAATTAATATGCTTGCACATATTAAAATGATTGTCCTAAATCAAATGGGTAGCAGCAACACAAAGGATACAAATCTGAATTAATTGTTTTCCATTTGACACAATGTGTGGATTATTAAACTTTGAACTCTACATTTTGCTAATTTATTCACTTTTCATGTTTTAGTTTAGTTTTATAATGTATCTGAGAGAGGGTTGTTGGGATGTACTGCATATTACAATATTCCGATTTGAATTAGATGAACCTACTGTACTATACATAATTACTTCCTGAGTAGGTTTTAAACACCTTTCAGGAATAACTAATTAATTTGCTCAAATGGTCACCCACGAGCTGAGTAACAGTGCGTGATTCTAGAAATAAACACAGAATTCAATAAATATATAGTGCTCAAACATCAACATTTCAATAATATCTGAACACATGTGGAGCAATACTGTACAATATTATGGACTGAACTACAATTGAAAACTTCCCGTTCAATTAATATGCCCATGCACTTTACTGTTAAACTGATCAATCCGCCATACAGTATCCAATATTAGTTGTTGAAACTATTATCCAGAGAATATATAAAATATGTCAAAAGCCATCTGGTGTAAGTTAATATATACACCTGGCTAGTTTGATACAACTATCAACTAATTAATTATAAACTTACTGTGACAAACATTTTGCATTGAATTTGGAGTATTATTATTATACTGTAAACAAACATTCGGGAAGATATTTATAAACTAATCAGTTCACAGTATACAGAAGGCTGATTTGTTATAAACAGACTACTGTAGAGTACATTAAACTATTATTGGAAAATTGATGAGCCTACAGGCTAAGCGAATATAATTTTATAATATTAGAGTTCTTCAATCGCTGGTTTAGCTGTCAATTTTACAGATAAAAATAAATGGTCCACCAGTAAAAATGTGTGATGGTAGAAACCACTAATTACGCTTAGGTGGTTCAGCTGATTCCTCACAGACAAATTTATCACTGCAATAACATTTGGTAGCGAGTTCATTTATTTTATTGAGCGTACAGAAAAAGCATGTCTGTGAAGCTCAGATCTGAATTAGGCACAAATTTGAAGGACACTATTATGAGAATATAACGATGATGACGACAACGATGAAATTATAATGTTGATGATGATGTTGATGATAATGATGTAATAATGTTTTTGATGCACTTGATGATGATGATAATAAAGAAGATGATGCCGATAATCTGATGTTGTCGTTGATAAAATCGATGTTGTTGATGTTGACGACAAAGAAAGATGAGAAATATAATATTTTACTTGGGTTGGCTTATGTAAAAAATTTCCTCAATTCAGCCACTGGCTACCAATGAATATTATTTAGCTATAAATGTACTATTGATAAGTAAATTAAAATTATAAACTTTGCTTTCCTTCAGGCATGGACAGAACCAATGTACATTAGAAAATAATTAGCAATCAACAAAAATTACTGAGTAAAAAGAATTTCAAATTTGTTGACTGGTAAACTAATTTTCGATATTTTCACTATTTAAAAGATTTTGATTTTTAAAATTTTTTATAATCACATTGTTAATCATGCAATCAAATTATAATTATTAAACTAATTAATTCACACAGTTATGTACAATACTTGTAATATTCAATGTTAATTACATCTTTTCCCAATAATAACTGACATACTGAGATACTGTACCATCCATTGACAGATAATCCTCAAAATTTGAAGTACAGTTTAATTGCTTTAAATTATTACTTATCTGGTACTGAAGTGTAAACAAAACCAAACCCTAGTCCAAAGGTGACACTGACAGTAGGTTTTACCTTTCATTACCATCCCTGGATCTGACTTTAAGAAGGTTATATAAGCAAAAAACAACTAGTGTATGACTATAATATAACAATCTTACTGCCTTACAAGACATTCAACTTCTTTGATTAGTATAACATATTATAAATCTTAATCAATATCCTAAACAAGAAACAAACTTACCGGCTTAGGCATCTTGCTTTGCTACTATGTCCTAAATGAAAGAAAATACTATTGGAAATATATTTCCTGTTGCTTGTCAAAAGATCACCTCTGAAAGATAAAACAGAATCAATGCTGGTTTTTATTTTTCAGTACAAGTTGCTTCATAGCTGTCATCCATGATCATCATGAACAATATAATTTAGCATTCAGACACAGAAAAAAATTTCCTAACAAAATCCAACAGTAGGGAGGACCCAAGTGGGGCCTAATAACCTTTAGTAATATGTATTTTGCTGTTTGTGGTGATACCCAATCAATCGGCTGACATCAGGATGACAAATGTCTTGATAACTGTAAAAACTTCAAAATCCTGATTTTGAAAGAGATGGATTACCGTATAATAGTTTCTGTGAGAAGTGTTCTTGCTGATAATGGGAATGCTGTTGTTTTAATAGACAACAATCCCAAAGTGATACTAGCACCTCAAGGGTGGAACAAGGCAGCAATACTATATTATCCATTGGAAATCAGCACAAAATGCAACTTATCCATGCTCTGAGAAATACCTACTGATATCACATACAATATAGTAGGTCTAATGATTTTCATCTACTACAGTAGTGCAAACTCTTATTTGAACCCTGATCCACAGATTGGAAACCTAAACTTCCAAGTCTACAATAACCACTTCCATAATGAGAAGTAAGAAATCTAAAAACAAAACAGAGAGTATCAAGTAATGTAGACTAAACCATACAGTAGTGTGGTAGTCACATGAAAATTTCTCTAATTGCATCTTTTAAAAAAATATACCAGGTAAAGTGGCTCCAGCTTCGTTACGTTGCAAGGTCAAAGGTCACTTAGTCTACCACCACCACAAGTCTCTCTCTTTATGATTTCTCAACTGTACTTGTCTACTGTAAAGCCAAACAATTTTAGGCTCTGGGAAATCAATTTGCTTAAACCAGAAAAAGGTGGTCTAACCATTTAGTTTACGATAAACATATAAAACTTAAGTCACTACTATATTTTGAATTGACCTTGACCTCTGACCCTATTTCAATAACCCTGCAGTTGATCCATGAAATACTGTACTGGTGGGTATGTTAAATCTGCTACTCCACATGGTATACCAATGTTATTTCAGTTTCGATAAATCTTGTATTCCCAATGCCAGAAACCATTCTCAGTGACTCATCTTCAAAGTATGCTATTAGCAAAGTAAACCACCTACAGAATTGACAACTATTTTATGTTGTTTTCTTTTTCAAAGGTAACAATAAAATAGAATGACAAAACTGAGAACTGAAAGACTGCCAGGCACTATCAGGAAGTGCTTTTATAAACTGTTATAGTTTAAAAAATATAACAATTTATATATAAAAATTTGTTTATGAAAATGAAAATTAAATGCTAGAAAAGTCTGATAAATGAGGGTGGAATAATAATATAATCACCATTGATCTAACATTACATTAGGCCTACAAAATTTTAGAACTGTATGCAATCAAGTCGTTATAAAAAAAAAATTATTTCAGTTTAAAATAGGCGGTGCTAATTTTACTATATTTAAAGACCTACAGTACTTATACATATAATATTAAATAATGGTCTGTTCACATGAAACCATTTAAAACGTAACGATGAGAATTTATATTTCATAAATTATAGATAGGATTCATTAAAGGCAAGCAAATCACATGCAAGATATTAATGCCCGAAATTAAAGGTTAATTATGAAAACAATTAGCAGTAATAATATAAGAAAATACAGCAATAGATTATAAATTTAGGAACTAAGCACAAGTCTACCCTAGCTTGGAAAACTAATCATTAAATAAAAACAGTAGGCTACTATCAACTATGATGGGAATACTACCTAATTGAATACTATTCTGCTGACATTAAGTAAAGGTAGGAAATACTGTAACCTGTAACTTGCAACTACCTAGGCTGACTAACTCATTCAAAGTTTTTCTCCCCAAGGGTTCAATCAGCTGTCAAGAGGTGCACTTTTGTCTGTCCACAACGACAGCGGATGAATGAACCAGTACTGTACACCAGGGTAACCCCCTACTCTTCTCGAAAGATGTATAGTACTGGAGTGCAAACAAGGCAATTGTGTACACTGACCTACAGTTTGGAGTTCTTACCGAAAAAGCTTGTTTCACCACCAAAACCATAGGCAAGGTGCTGCTCAAACCAGCGCTCATTATGGCTGTAGTAGGTTGCTGCGCCCCTGCCTTTACTGCTAGGCCTTTCACCAGGACGACACTGAGAGTGCAATGCTATCATCAAAAGATGCCTCTCCTCTAAGCTCGTAAAAACTCAGTAGTACAGAACCAGTAGGCATAGCACTGCTGTAAGCCCAGGCGTACCTAAATTACTGGGCCCTAGTTTTAAAGATCAATGGTTATCACCTCCCAGAGCCGGGAGGTAGGTAGGCTGGTCCATCGGAGTATGGTTGAAGCAACCGCGCTCAAAATGTATGGAACGCCAGTAGCGCTTTACCAACTGATTTAGATACCATATGGTATATAGCAAATGTCAATAGCGTTCATATCGTACTTGTCAATTCTAGTACAGTAATAAACTACAGTATATAAAAAAATATACATTAATTTATAGTTGATTAAAACAGTATTAATATCGTACTCTGATGCCTATTATCCAACATACACATTTTGCATACTGCACGCTTGGCTCTCCATACAAATTACTGTGTATCGACTCGCGGCCGCTTTCAACCCTAATTCGTCCCATCAACCTAAAAAGGCTAAAAATTGAATGGAACTGACAGGGTTGAAAAGGTAGGTAAAACCAAAGATGATAGTTTTCAGATATATAACGTCCTATCCTTACCTCATGTACCATCAACACCGATATGAACATAGATTAAAAAACAGTAGCAACACCGAGAGTAAGGTGGAGCACCAATTACCGAAAATGAGTAATCCACCGCAATTACAAAGAACATCAACCGCCCTTTGCAGCATAGAGAATCTACGCCCCCACACGTACAGCTAAAACCTCTCGGGGATTGAGATATAGGCCGGCTGAGTTTAGCCAACATGGCGCAGTCCATGCCATGGGTCGGTATATTTAACTTAATTATGTTGTCATTTCTAAACCTACTTGATCAAAATAAAGCTAACAACATCTGTCACTACACAGTGTTTAAAACAAACACTGTGATATAAAAATACAATCTAGCCTAAGTTTTGTGTTAGATACAATAGCAAAAGCGTTACTCACACACGCACACCGGCAGCTTCCCTCAACCGCGGCCGTTAACACCACTTCGTTCGATGGCGTTAAGAGTCAGTCTCAGCTCTCGCGAATGCAAATATGTAAGAGGGCGTGGTCGATCATGCACCAAACGCGCCAGACTTCCTATACTTGGTATCAATCATCAACAAGGTAACGGAGCCCTCTCTCGAAATATTGCTCATCATTATACCCAAAAGAAACCCCCAGGTAGCCTCATGACGACACAACAAAATCTAGATTATTCATAATTATTTTAGACATGCATTGTTAATTATTGATTACTGATTAATTAATTCAGACCGTATTGTAATAATAATAATAATAATAATAATAATAATAATAATAATAATAATCATAATAATAATAACAGAAATTTATAATGCACCAATTCAAAGGTACAGTGGACTAGATGTTGCAATTTTCATTAAATTTCTTCTCCCCTGATGGACGCTTCATGTCCTCTGCAGTCGGTAAACCGGCGCACTTTCATCTGTCCAGGAGGACGGGCCGAGTGGACCAGCCTTAAAATAATAATAATAATAATAATAATAATAATAATAATAATAATAATAATAATAAATAATAATAATAATAATAATAATAATAATAATAATATTAATAATAATAATAATAATAATAATAATAATAATAATAATAATAATAATAATAATAATAATAATAATAATAATAATAATAATAATAAATAATAATAATAATAATGTATAGGTGTAATTTTGCCTTACCTGACGTGGAAATGTACCGAATATTCAGTACATTTGAAAACAACTGCGGGAAAAAAAATCGCAAGTTGTTCTCGGGTGGGACTCGAACCCACGATCTCCAGATCGTGGGTCCCACCCACGGAGAATGTCCCTTCGAAATTGTTGTGTTCTAGACGCCCGAAAATAACATTTGAGGCGTTCTTGGCTATCACATTTTTCTTCTTTCTTTTTTTAACCTCCCAAAAGTGGTGGGGGGGGGGGGTACCGGGGCCGGCCAACCACTAAATCCACCCCTGTGGGGTCTGGATTCGATGTGGAATTATGAAAAGTGATAGGTTTGGTGCACTGACCTCTAAAGATGCCCAACTTATTACAAAAACGTAAATATAAAAATGACATAAATGTATAGGCCTATGCCTATTATATTTTTTTCAGATAATATGTTCAGCCGCTCCAAGTTTCTTTCCTATTTTTCCTTCTTCCCTTTCTTTCAAATATCATTTTGCATTCACTTACTAAATTGGTAAACATATAGGGCCACTAAGCCTAGGACTTTCATAAACTTTGTTTGCATAGTTTAACACGATTCAAATTCGAGTCTATTGTCGTGTATCTGTTCGAGATGAAAATGTAATTCATTATTTGTAATTGCTTACTTTCTATTTCAGTTATTATTAGTAGCGTTAAGTAGCCACTTAACGCCTATTAAAACATTATATTTTCGCATCAATTCCCTTAAATTAAGTTCCGCGGGTTAATGAAAAGCCTGTAAATCGTAATTATTGACTTTATAGACTTTCATTTCTTCGACCCTTCATGAATGAAAATTCTGAATAAAAAAAAAAACAATTACGGTATAGACATAAAATAACATTTAAATATCCATCCATGGTCATAGAAGACCCTATCGACATAAATGAATTAAGAAGTAGATATGTTTAGTGTTTAGGCGAGACTTTTTTTATATACAAACTCCAAAAATAAGATGATGTATTATTTTTTCCTTCGTTCATACCGGGTATACACTCAAAATTTTAAAAGAATCGTACTGATTCACAAATAGAATCCTGCAGCGGTGCCTAAATGCATTCTTCATTAGAATCAAATTGATGATGGGTGACGATCATTTTGATTCAGGACTAGAATCAAATAGGTATGAACCTGTCTCTTATACA